ATTAGTTTTACATTCATTCTATTGTATATCGTCTCATTGCCATGGTTACAATCCCCTCCATGCATCATCAACCAACCAAAGGGTATACCATGCAATCCTGTCCCCCATACTCCCAGGGTCTTCAGCACACAGTCCCTTCCCTCTCCCTCTCTGGATCTAAAGTCCCTAGCTGTTCCATCGCTCCATGTCATGGTCTCTGCCTCCATCTCAGGCATCACTGCTTCTCTGGGTAGGGTCCTGCTCTTCACTCTTCTCCCTTGATGGTCCTAGGGACCTCCACTCATAGGCTGGAAAGTTAATCACTCCCCTCCTTGCTATAAAACGTCTACATTTCCAACCCTCACAATCAGTCCTGATAACAATTATTCACTATTGTATCACAAGAGACTCATCTGCATTTCATTTCATCAGCTCCGCCTAGACAGATTGGATACTACTCAATGGAGATTTTACCTTCCTCCAGGCTCTCTGGATCTAGGTTCCCTCTTGAAAGCTTGTAAACCAGTCACTTCTTGCCTTTGTAGCCCAAGAGCTGATCTTGATTTTGTCTTCTCAAGCTGTTCGAATTTTTCAAACAATTTTGTTTTGTGGAATGTGTTTTTATGCTGAGGCAGCAGTATGATTGAAAGTCTTCATGTGTAAAATTAGCTCAAAAGAAAGGTCACTGTGATGTATATAATTTATGTTAGGACATTATATAATATGAAAATGATGTTGGCTAAACAGAAACTTTCTGTTTAGGTCTTTTATCTCGTCATTTCTTCCATTTGCTTTAGCAACTCTACACTGAAGAACAAGTTTCAGAGTCTTGTGACATGCATTTTGGTCATCTACATACCTACTTTTTCTTTCTTGACTGATAATACTATGTTATTACATAATTATACATTATTTATAAATAATACCATGTATGATTGTGTCTTTTAATTTCTCCTTGAATTTTTCAAACAATTTTGTTTTGTGGAATGTGTCTTTATGCTGAGGCAGCAGTATGATTGAAAGTCTTCATGTGTACAGTTAGCTCAAAAGAAAGGTTACTGTGATGTATATAATTTATGTTATGACATTATCTAATATAAAAATGATCATATAATGAATGATTTCTTTTTAAGTGTCTAAAAATACGAAGGAGTAATAGCAACCCTGTTTATTCTTCTTTATGGAAAAGACACAAGCAGTCTCAAAGAATCGTATTAATATGTTAGACTGCGTTCAGTATTTAGTTAACTGAAATGATCCGCATCTCACTAGTTAGTCAATTGTCAAATGCCAACATCTCTGTTTAGTTTTATATCCTTTTTGTCTTGGTTGAATTTTCTTTCATTATTTATTTAACAAACTAGAATTTTATAAAATAAACATATATTAAAAGAACTGCTGATAATTATTCTAGCTTCAACTTCATACGTGAAAAACTAAGATTATTCTATGTTGTATGATTCATTGTACTCTCTACTAATGTAAGTTTAAGAAACTCTGGTAGTGTAGTGGTTATGAGTTGGGCTGTTAATCTCAAGGTCAGCAGTTCGAAACTACCAGCCATACTGTGGGAGAAACATGAGACTTTCTGTTCCAGTAAAGGTTTATAGCCTCTGAAACCCTATGTAGGGTCGTTATGCGTTGGAACCAATTCCATGGCACACCACCATCCACCACAATGTAAGTTTACTGAAATTCTAACATAATAAAAATAAATTATTTTTATAAAGAGGTGTGAAAACATGACAGTTTTTGTCACTAAATTTAGTTTGTTAATACATTTAAAAGGAGTACTGGTAGCATAGTGGTTACAAATCGGGCTGCGAACCGCAAGGTCAGCAGCTCGAAACTACCAGCCGCTCCATGGGAGAAAGATGAGGCTTTCTGCTCCCATAAAGATTTATAGCCTTGGAAACTCTGTACAGGGTCGCTATGGGTCGGAATCGACTTGATGGCACTCAACAACAACAATACATTTAAAGGTAATTTTATGCATTATGGACATTTTTACCTGTCTTACCTGAGCCATTTTTCAGATACCCATTTGCATCTACAGTTGTGTACATAATATATGGTCCAGGTTGATTTACTCCAAAGGGCTGCAATAAAAAACAAATAGTTAAGCCTTGAAAAAAATGTGGATGATTTGAAGTTTCAAGCAGATCTATTACAAATAAAGTAATAAGTCTTATATATTATTTTTACCTAGATGACAATTACTTAGAGAACAGTGTCATAAACAGATAACATTTTAAAATAAAATCTGTTAGTAGAAAATTGTTTTAAATTAAAATAATTGTTAAATCACAGGATCTATTATACATCTTCAATTATACTTCTTCTTGTTGTTAAGTGCCCTTGAGTAGATTCTGACACAGCAACTCTGTATAGGGTTTCCAAGGAGAGGCTGGTGAGTTTGAACCACCCACCCAGTGGTTCAAACTGATCTGGTAGTCCAGTGCTTATCCTACAGTGCCACACCAGGACTCATCAACTACAGTTGTTAAACTGGTAAATGCCATCGAGTCAGTTCTGACTCATAGCCACGTTGTACAGGGTTTCTGAAGAGCAGCTACAGGTTTGAACTGCTGACCTTGTGGTTCACAGTCCAGAGCTGATCCTATACTGCCACACCAGAAATTCTCAACTATACTGGGAATCACCAATTTTTTTCCCCTGCAATGTTATCACTACTTTCTACTCCTACCAGCTGTTTGTGAAAAATTCTGTTGTTTCACCTACTTAGCAAGAAACACTGCTAAAGTGGTATTTTGTTGTTGTTGTTGAGTGCCATCGAGTTGATTCCAACCCATAGTGACCCTATATAGGGGTTCCAAAAAGCAGCTGGTGAGTTTGAACCACTAACCTTGCAGTTCAAATGGCTTTGCAGTCTGGCACATTAAACCACAGCACCACACCAGGACTATCTCTTTTTAATTATTTTATCTTATCTAGGTCTTTATCTTTGGATAGCATATGTCCTTTTTAAATGCTGTATCTGTCCCATTCCAGTGAGGATTGAAAATAATACTTCTGAGGTCACATTTATGACTGTGTTATAACCTCAATTTTAGTTTATTATCCACAGTCTATACATTTCAAAATTGGTGTCTTGAACATATAGTATTTTTATGTAGAAATAAGAATATTACATATACTACAAGGTGATCCTGCTGGTATTTTAAATACAGGTGGCATAGCTTTCAGAATCACAGGAACTCACAAGCCACCACAGTACGACAAACTGACAGACGAGTGGTGGTTGTTTGGTTTTAAGTGCAAACTGTCACTTTAAATTTCGAGGAGATCTGTGCACATGCATAGTAAAACCTCTATTCCAAAGAGAGGTGACCCAACGGAATGTGGAAATCATCGGACAATCTCTTTGATACCCCATATGAGTAAAGTTTTGCTAAAGGTAATACAGAAACGGCTACAATCATACATTGACAGAGAACTTCCATAGGTTCAAGCCGCATTCAGAAGAGGACGTGGAACAAGGGATATCATTGCTGATGTCCGATGGATCTTGGCCAAAAACAGAGAGTATCAGAAAGATGTTTACCTATGCTTTATTGACTATACAAAGGCTTTCGATTGTGTGGATCATGACAAGCTATGGACAACATTGAGAAGGATGAGTATTCCGGAACACTTAATTGTGCTCATGAGGAATCTACCTGGACCAAGAGGCAGATGTTCGACCAGAACATGGGAAGACTGAATGGTTTAAAATTAAGAAAGGTGTGTGACAAGGTTGTATTCTTTCACATACTTATTCAACCTGTATGCTGAGCA